TACTCTCGTTAAGCAAGAGTACGAAGATTTACGAATAAAAGCAAAGAGCGAGAAAATACGAATGAACAGAGATGCCACCAAACAAGCAAGTTTAATGGAATATATGGAAAACATATGAATTCATCAACTCACTGAGGAAAAATAACGAAAATAAAACGTGATAAAATAAGAATAAAAGCCAGTTCGTTAAGTTATTATTATCAGCAAATCCTTAAAAGAGACAACACACAAATGAAACCTCCACGAAAAAGAGCATTCTTAATAAAAACAGTAAAACAATAGCTTTAAAAACCGCTATAACTCCTTAGCTTCGTTAATCATTCTTTAAAACCAGGAATAATAGAAAATCCAAATGAATAAAAGTCCGTTAAACACGCGCGTAGATCACTGAGCCAAGGTATCCGCAACTCCCTTACAAGGTCGTTGACCCGACCTTTTATGCGAACAAGGTTTGTTTACCCTTAGTCTGCGCAACAAGACTCGTTGTTCTTAAAAGTGTCGTCTGTTCTTTGTGACGTTACATCTTCTGTTTCATTTATTGTGGTATTGCTCATTTTCATTTGATATTTGCATAGGAGGTCTTTAATAAAACATTTTTTATATACATATCAGGAACGTAAAATATATGCATGATTTTAAATATAGAAGGGAATAAAATTACGCTGGTTAGCCAACCAGGCTCTGGCGCCAAACAACTGCTCTCCGTTTTCTGTCGCCAGCTTTCAGAAATACATATTCCAGGCGCTATTTCAGGCGTTTAAGGGCCAAACGTCTGTACAAAAATCATGCCATCCTCCTTCTCAGCAAGAACCGTCTAAGGCGTCCCTGTTCGCTCGTCAGCGTCTCCTGCAGGCAGGTCCTCTGTAGCGTCGCCTTCTGCGCCATCTACAGGGACGAGGGCGGCAAGTAGGAAGGTGAGGCGTCAGCCCCTCCCCCATCCAGCAGAGCGTCCACGACGTCTCATCTAGCTGGCCCTCGAAGTCCAACTGCTCCCCCGGTCGAGTCTTTCCCACGTCCTCAGCTAGATCGTTTCTGGGTTCACTCGGCAGGTCACAGGGGCATCTTGAAACGACGTGACGAAGCTCGTCTTGATCCACCTTCCCGAAGGTAGCTGTGAAGTCCTCCCGACACTCCAGGGTGATGACCTCCTGCTCCCTCTGCATCCTCCCATGGGTGTGATAGGGCCATCTAGAGTAAGGCAGGTCCTCCTCCACCTCCACCTCGAACCATCACGGGCATGGGTCAGGGTGTAATCCATGGCTCACAATCTGACAACAGAGAAAAATGTCCCTTCCCAATCCCCTTGAGTTGTGCTGGTCCCATTTATTACTTTAAGTGTTCAAATATGACATCTATCAAATATGAGACTGTATTTCTCATCCATGTTTATAGAGACTGCTAAATAAAACTGAGGGAGGATAGTATGGCTTGTTACACAAAGAATTCAAACTGGCAAGGACTGGCAGGTGATTCATGTAGTTAAGTCAACATAAGAATTAAGATTAGCTTAAACATAAAAGTGCTTAAGACTATAAAAAACATGTATGCAAATTAAAAAAAGGGAATGATAAACATATGTACCTATAATCACTTGGGACTGGCAAAGCAGGATGCAAGCAACATCACTCCTGGTTTAGCTTCATCATCTAACAGCGGATCGACATAATCTGGACCATATTCATCTTAAGGTCAGGATAAGTAACTTCACCCAAGACCTGAAACTGTTTGATGTCATTTATGTGACACTGGCTCTCAGTAAATGGACGTGAGACATCTTTTAACAAGAAGGACCAATCTTCTTTTTAATACGTGCTGGACCTGTCCATCGTGGGTTCAGCAACTTATCAGGTCCGTGTTTCGGTACACGGTTCTTATATAGTACAAGGTGTCCTTCCAGAGGCTTTACAGTTGCTGTCTGTCTGTCATAATCTCTCTTCCACTTCTCCCTAGCTGTGTTTGTCGTCTCAAGTTCTACCTGATGAGCTATCTTAAGAGCTTTATGGAAAGATCTGGATGCTTCCGAATCATAAACTAGGTCATTGGTGAGACCAACTGGAAAGTGGCCATGATGGCCAGTCTTCGGGTACAATGGTTGGTCTCCTGTGGATTGCACTATTAAAATCTAGTCTCACTTGATGGATCAGCTGTTCCTACATACCCGGTGATGTGTTAGCAAGGGATGCAATATCATCTTTAACAACCCTATTTGTCCCTTCTATCATCCCGTTTGCTTGAGGATGATAAGCTGTAGTTAGAGTGGTCTGTATCTGCAACAAACAGCAACATTTTTTGAATAGACGGTTGTTAAACTCAGACCCTCCATCTGTTTGTATGAGACGAGGAGGACCGAACCGAGAAATAAACTCTTTAAACATGTCATCAGCCACCGAACGTGCATCCTTAGTCTTGAGAGGAATAATCTGGATATAGTGAGTCAAATGACCCACAATTGTCAAGCAATATCTATAGCCTGCTTGAGATATCCCCAGTTCAATGAGGT